AATCCCAGCTACTCAGGAGGCTGAGGCAGGAGAATTGCCTGAACCCAGGAGGCGGAAGTTGCGGTGAGCCGAGATCGCGCCATTGCACTCCAGCCTGGGTAACAAGAGCGAAACTCCGTCCCCCAAAAAATAAATAAATAAATAAATAAATAAAAACTAATAAGGGCTTTATATGTGTCTGCCGGTGTTGCTGTTACAGATGTGGTGATCTGAACCCCTGCTCTTGCCACCAGGCCCCAAGCGCTCCCTGTCCTCCTGGGTCTTCCCACAGCAGCCTCCCGGGCCTTCCTGGGGCAGAGATGGGTCCACGGGGAGTGGGCTGCCCAGAGAACGAATTCCCTGACCATCAGCCTGCCCAGGTGCCAGGCCAGCTGCTAGGGGACAGCGTGTGGGCAGGCCAAGGATGGATGGCAGCTCCAGCCCCGCCAGCCCAGCTCAGCAGAAACCAGGGCCGGCAGTAATGGGCTGGCAGCCCCCAGCTGCAACCAACTTCATTTTCTGCCACAATTAAATGATCGCCCACATTTGCTCACCCTCACTTATTCAATTACTGTAGCAGCCCTGAAGGACTCTCAAATAAACAGCCATAAATAACACGCACAGCCGCCCCCCAGGCTGTCATCCGTGGCCAGCACTCACAGCCCCAGCCCTGCACCTTCCTTCCAGCAGAGATGCTGCCTCGCGCCTCCCCATTCCCAAGTTAATCCTCCCCAGCTCCCACCACCCACGTCTGAAAGTCCAACCCCGGCAGGAGAGTCTGCGCCTCTGGGTCCCAACTGGCTCTCCCCCTGTCCAGCTGGGTGTCTCGGGGGCCGCTCCCTCTGTGGGCTTCCAAGCCCTCATCTGTGAAATGAGGAAAAGTCTATGTGAGCTATAAAGTGTTGTCTTGGCAAGGGGCTGCAGTCCTGGCCTCAGCTGAAATGGGCACCCCTGGAGAGGGAGGCGAGACGAGGTATCCTCCTTATACCTGCCTCCATTCCCGCTCCCACCCCAGCCACCTTGAAGCCTTCTGAAAATGCCACGCTCTTCGAGGCCTCTGGGCCTTTGTGAATGCTGTTCCCCTTGCTGTTCCCTTCATTCACTTCTCTGCTTGGACACTTGGATGCCCTCTCTCCTAGGAGGCCTGCACTCCACCCCCATGGCAAGTAGATTAATCTCTCCTAACTTCTACTTCCACAGCAATTTACATACATTGTGGATTGGGGGGACAATCCCAGATTCAAATATTCTGAGCCCCATGACATAACCACGTCAAGACATGAATCTGAAATCAGAGTTAGAAAGTATGGCAACCTCATTTCCACTTCCAGGGACCAAGCCCCATGTTATTAAAAATAATAGGCCAGGCTGGGTGCAGTGGCTCATGCCTGTAATCCCAACACTTTGGGAGGCTGAGACAGGTGGATCACGAGGTCAGGAGTTCGAAACCAGCTTGGCCAATTTGGTGAAACCCCGTCTCTACTAAAAATACAAACAGCTGGGCATGGTGAGCACCTGTAGTCCCAGCTACTCGGGAGGCTGTGGCAGAAGAATCTCTTGAACTCAGGAGGTGGAGGTTGCAGTTGCAGTGAGTGGAGATCGTACCACTGCACTCCAGCCTAGATGACAAAGAGAGACTCAAAAAAAAAAAAAAAAAAAAAATTAGGCCAAGCGCAGTGGCTCATCCCTGTAATCCCAGCACTTTGGGAGGCTGGGGCAGGAGGATTCCTCGAGCCCAAGAGTTCCGGACCAGCCTGGGCAACATAGTGAGATCCCCAACTCTACAGAAAGGTCCACAGTGGTGCACACCCATCATCCTATGTCCTGAGACAGCTGAGGCAGGAGGATCACTTGAGTCCTGCAGTGAGCCATGACTGTGCCACTGCAATCCAGCCTGGGCAACAGAGCATGACCCTGTCTCTAAAATATAAAATAACAATACTCAAGATTTGGGCCAACCTTGCATGACACACTGCTAAATGCTTTTTACTTGCATCATATCATTGAAACCTCACAACAGTCCAAAGAAAATTATCTCCATTTCACAGATAAGGAAGCTGAGGCCCAGTGAGGTTAAGATGCGCATCCACAGTGACATCCCCTGGAAACGGCAGAGTGAGGAATGGAGCCCAGGTGAGTCCACACCACAGTCCAGCCTCAATCTGCGCGGCAGAAGGGACGGGCTGTTCGGGGACTGGGGTCCGGTTCTGGCTCATCCGCAGCCACTCTGCCACCCCAGGCAGGGCCTCTCACCTCTTTGCAGCCTGTGTCTCTCCTCTCCTGTAAAATGAAAGGATTGTTATCAGGTGGCCTCTGAAGGCCCCTCCAGCTCTGACGTTCGGGGATTTTCTTTCTTTCTCTGAAGGAGTGGTCTGAGCGGAGCGAACAAAACCATCAAAACCGAGGCAAGGGTGGAGGGCTCAGGCATCCCCTGGGGAGATGCTCGGGGCAGGGTCCTCCCACTCTCCCCCTCATGCCTGGAAGGCAGGTGGCAGCCTGTTCTTGTGAGGAAAGCGGCCCTCCACCCCAGCGAGAGCAGCAAAGTTCTGCAAGGATCAGTGGGCAGGGCAGGGCAGGGCCCTGGCTGGCCACCTTCCTCCTGCAGCCCTTGATGTCAGCCACTGTGGAGGCCTCAGAAATGTTACACGCAGACTTCATGGGGCAAAGGAGACGCGAGCTGCAATATCTATGGCATGTAATTGGCTTCTCTATGTTGGCTCTTGCGTGGATTAAAAGTCCCCAAGAACCTGACTTTGTGAGGGCTGTCCTGGCCTGGGAGGTGGCAGGCCTGAGTCCCCTGCGTCCCAGCTGCCTGTGTGGCCCTCAGCAGGGCTATCTTTTCTCAGGGCTCAGCCAGATGTGGTGTGGTCTGGGGGATGTGGATGGTGACCCAGCGCTGCCAGGAGAGCAGGCCCAGTGCCAAGTCCCCAGCCTGTGTCCACGTGCCGGGGGGTGAGGGGGCGGCCATCTCCTCCCCTCCTGCCAGCCTTCCCCAGGCCCCAACATGGCCCCGGGCTTGGCTGGGGAAGCAGAGGGGTGACCGGTGCCTTCCCCCTTGGGTGGAGCTGTGTCTTTGCACCAAGGTGTGTCTGGAGGCTGCCAGATAATGAATCTGGGTTAGGAGTAGGGCCCCAGATTCAAATCCCAGCTAGGCCACTCTGTTTCCTCCGCTGTGAAATGAGGGCCCTTCCCTCACAAGGCTACTGTGAGGACCAAACGAGATAAAGTGTGTGAAGAGCTCAGGGCCAGGCCGGCCCTCTGCCCCTCACCTGCTTCTACTGATCATGGCCACAGGGTGGGCATGGCGGCTCCCTTCAGCCCTCCCATTCCCGAGGCCAGACACACACACACACACACACACACACACACACACACACACACACACGGCCTACAGAGGTTGTCTGTCCCTGAGGACCTGAGTGGTGACACCCCTGCGCTTCCTAGTCAATGGGGCCATCTGCCTTCCAGAGAGAGTTTATCACCTCCCAGATTTCGCAGTCTGTGGCTCAGTGGCTCATCCTCCCAGATTCCCGGCGGCAGCGGTCTGGGCCCGCCCTCCTACCTGTCTTTTCAGCTGTTTGGGAGGCTGACAGGGCAGGCTCTGATGCAGAGCCCCGAACAGGATCGGATACACAGGCTGGAAGCTCCCGGGTGGGGCTGGGAGCTGGGGGCCAGGTCAGGCCAGCTGGGATGTGATGCTAGGGAAGCCACAAGCCGCTCAGCCTCGTGGCCTCAGAGAGGTCACTCTCCAGCCCTTGGCAGCAAGGGGGGACCTCGAGTGGGGAGGCAGGGAGGAGAGGGAAGGGAAGGTGCTATGCCAAGCTGGGGCACAGCGATAGGGGAGCCCGGCATGGGAGGGGAGTTTTTACTGGAACCTGGGCAGGTCTATAGCCACCACCCATGTTTACACTGTGGGAAGGGGTGATGACACATCCTGGAAGGAGGAGGAGGTTGTTGTCTCTAGGGCAAGAACACTGGGTCATGGGAGGAGGGACAGGGGCAGCTGTTGAGGAGGGATGATGCCACACAGCCACAGTAACCGAGCCCAAGGCCCCCATCAACCGGGGTCAGGGAGAGGAAAGGAAACCGCTGTTGTGCAAGCCAGAGCACGGAGAGCCCGGGAGGGAAAGCCAGAGACCCAGAATGTGTCCACGTGTTTATTGGCTCCTTCATTCATTCACCAAACAAGTATTGGAAGGCCGGCGCTGGGTTACATGCTGAGGACATAGCGTCGAGCAAACCGAGCCAAGTCACCATCCCCAAGGAGGAGAGACAGGCAAGGAGCAAGTCACACACGTAAATATGCAATGACAGCTGGCATAAACACTTCTTAAAAAAGGAACTAGGCGGTAGACTGTGTCAGAAAGGGCCAGGAGGCCTTCCCGGAGGTGGTGACACAGGAGCTGGAGCTGGCATCGGAAGGATGAAGAGGAATTGGCCAGGTGTGATGTGGGGCTGAGGAGGTGGGCAAGGGCTGAACCCTGGGCATGGGATTGGAACTTTATCCTAAGGATGGAGCCACTGAAGAATATTAAGCAGCAAAGTGACATGACTTGAATTGTTTCTAAACATCACTCTGGGGAGAATGGCTTGTAACGAGAAGTGGGAGAACATGAGGGCCTACTGCAGTCATCCATGACCACATGGTGGTCCAGGCCAGGCCCATGGAGATGGAAAAAATGGGACCAATTCGAGAAATGTTTGGGACACGAAATCCAGAGGACACGGTGACCAATGAGCAGCCTGGGAAGGCAGCAGTGAAGCGGGAAGTCCTCAAGGGTCAGTCCAGGCTGGGGAGGGAGAGGGAAGCGGGGGATGGCCAGAGACCAGCCCACCAAATAGTAAGTGCATGCATTCAAGTCCCAGGTGTTTCCTGCCTCCGAATGCGGCATCTAAGGGCTGCCCTAGGATGCCCTGGTCCACAGAAGAGCAAGTACCACACTGGTCAGGACTGATTTCCAGAAACCAGGACCAGAGGGAAGGCAGGGAGCAAGGTGGGTCCCAGACATGGCTATGGAAAGAGGCACCGCAGCAGGCATCTTGGAAGGGAAGCTGAGCTTTGGGGAAATGACCGTGGAGAGAAATTGGCTGAAGTCAGAAAACAGAAATCAAATGCCCATTTGACTGCGTCAGGAAAGTACCAGATCACTGGTTCTGGATGGCGGGGCCCTGTGTGTGTTTACTGACGTATGTCTCAGGTCACATATTAGGGACTCGAAAACGTTGTTACATAAATAGAAGAATAAGAAGTCAGCATGGAACCTTGCTCTTTACAACGGCAGAAAATAAACACAGCAAGCAGGTGGTGGAATGTGGACCGGCCCTTCCGGAGGCCTGGGTGCCAGGGCACTCACCGGCCATCTTGCTCAAGTGGGAAGTCCTTCCCCCTCTGGACCTGAAGGGCCTCCTGCTCATCCCTGTGGTAGTTCCTGGGTTCCCAGAATAGGGATCTGAGTCCAGCATGATGGGGACAGGGGAGGTGGCGCAGGGCTGGGGGGAAAGGAGGTCATACCCTCTTCCAGGGCCAGGTAACCAGAGCCCAGCACACAGCTGGGCAGCGGGAGGGGCAGAGCACGCAGGAGGCCATGTGCCTTCCCTGGTGAAATGTGATCAGTCAGCCACCTAGTCAGGGGTCAGGGAGGGGAGCATGGGATCCACACCCCACTTTAAACCAGGCTTCAGGACACCCCAGGAATTCCTGTTATACCTGTGGGGCTCTGCTCTATCTGGGTGTAGGGAGGCCCACGTCCATCCACACAGTGTAGGTGGGAGAGGAGCTCAGCCACCCGAGGGCAGCTGGGCAGGTAGTTGGGCCCCCACGGGCTGCGGCCCCTCCATTACCCTTTTTTGTTTTGGAGACAGGGTCTCTCTGTGTCACCCAGGCTGGAGTGCAGTAGCGTGATCAATCCTAGCTCACTGCAGCCTCGGCCTCCTGGGCTCAAGCATTCCTCCTGCCTCTGCCTCTCAAAAGCTAGGGTTACAGGCTGAGCCACCGTGCCCAGCCTCCCCTTGTTCTCTTGCTGCTAGCACACCTGCTAAGTAGCTCCTGCTGTGCCGAGCCTTGGGGTAGGCATAGAGGAGTGGACAATGGCTGGCAGGCAAGGGCCAGGAGAATGGGTGCCAGTCCGCCTCCCCCATTTTGCCTCTGTGAAATGAGCATGAGGGAGAAGGGGCTGTCCAGAGCATGTTCTCCATGGACACATGGAAATCGACAAAGTATTGCACCAACAGGTCTGGGGGGACGAGGAGACAGGTAAAGGGGTCCTGGGGGATGAGTCTGAGAGAGGCTAGACCAGACCACTGGGCAAGCTGGGCCTGAACAGACCAGGCAGCATCTCTGGCCAGAGAGAAGGCTGAGCCCCTCACCCATACATGGAGTGGCCAAAGAAAGGCAGCTGGGGCACCAGTGCCCAGGGGAACTTTGGCCAAATGTCCAGGGTAGCCTGATCTTCCTCATACTGGTCCAGGGCTATTTGGCCTGAAGCCTGTCCCTCGATGAACCCTGTCCTTTGCCCTCACCCCCTCTCTCCCAGACCACGCCGTCAGCAGCCTGACTCCTCAACATCTCAGGAACTCACCCTCTCCTTTCCCCCACCGCCCCCTCTCCCAACGAGGCTAGAACTCTTCTAGAGGACAGCATCTGTCTGCCTGCCTTTGAGAGTTTTAAACACAAGCCTGACTCTGACTCTTTCTGGCATAAAGCAACTTCGTTCCTCCCAGAAGCTGAGGACAGAGGCTGGTGAGGCTGCCTCGTCCCTGCCCCATCTCTCCCCAGTCCCACCCTGCAGGCTTCCACCTCCCGACCCTGCTCCCGCCTGCCTCTGGGCCTCTGCACAGGCTCTCCTGTAGCTAGACCCCCTTCTCACCACCCTCCGCCAGTCAACCAAAGGACCCTGTTTCTCCCTCAGCTCTCAGCTGCTCTCCTTGTCCAGGACACCCTCCCAGCTCCCTGCAAAGTCCTCTATTCTCTCACCAGACACTTTTCCTGGAGTTGCCCTCTGACTTGCTGAGCCCCCCAGCTGTAATGCCCTGACATTGGGGTGCTTGGTCAGTGCTAGCAGAGGGCTTCAAAAAATGCTTCTTGATGGACGGATTGTCCTCAGCCTGACTGCTGACTGACTGAACGTCTCGCTTCCTGACTTCCTTCTCTCTGGCAGCCACAGCTTGGGCCAAGTTGCAGTGAGGTTCCCGCAGAGAGGATGGGCCAAGAAGCCCAGCAGAAGGGAGAGCGTGAACCCCCCAACCCGAGACTCACCCCTTTTCTTTTGAATGAGGAATCAAGAAATAACCAGGGGCCTTGGGGCGATCGGCCCTTGGTGCCCAGGTCCTGACATGGTGTGGGCAGCTGATAAGGACTCTCCCTTGCCTGAGACCACGTCTCCCTCCCCCGCTTCTCACTTCTCCTCTTGACCCCTCCCTCCCACCCCCTCTGGCCCTGCCCCAGGGCAGCAGAGCATCCAGCTGACAGCTGGACATGCCAGTCCCCTCCAGCCCTTCCCCAGAGGGTCAGGTGACCCTTCCCTCCCCAGAAGGAATACCTCGAGCACCAGGGCTCTGGCGGACAGTGAATGCTCTACGCTGGGACTGGCCCTTGCTGATGCCTGTACATGGTGGGCACTGAGAGACAAGATTCCTGGGCCCTGCCTTACACACTCCTCACCACCTTGGAGGAGGCTCTGGTGAGTGCTGCCTTGTGGGCAGGGATGGGCAGGGCTGGCCTTACTGAGCCTTTGCAGGGCCTGAGGGGAGAGAGGGTCTCATGTCCACAAGGCCTGTCCATAGCCTGGGGTCTCATCTCCATTCCAGGCTGGCCAGGAGTCTGCCCCATGGAGGGTCCAGCGTCTTCGTGGGGGTCTCTCCGGCTGTGTGCGGCGGGGTGGGGAAGAGTGTTGGGACGGTTGAGCATGTAGGAATTCTGGCATTTGCTCCTCTTTCATCCTTCTCCCTTCTCCCAAGGAAATTCCACCTCTCCCCTTTCAAGTGTGCCTGGAGCCCTCTCACTTCAGGGTGGACTGGGACTGCAGAGGAAGCTGGGGGGAGGGACATGTACAGGGGGCTGCATTAACCCTTAACAGAGGCAGGTGTCCAAGAAAGGCGGGCAGCATCCCCGGGGCCCAGGAACAGCATGTCCTAGCCCAGCAGCCCCAGATTTCCACGGGAGGGGTGGGAGGCAGGCATAGGGTTGGTGACATCAGCACCTTACAGCAGCTGCCTGGGGCCTGGGGCCTGGTGCAGGGTGGTGGTGGACCACAGGATGGGGGCCATGGGGGTCATGGCATGTCTCCACCAGGCGGCGGTCCCTGCTGGCCTGGGCAGTGGCAGAGTCTTGCCCCCTACCCTGGCTCTTCTAGGTCCCTTAGTGAACCGGAGACCTGAGCTTGCCTTGTGGTCCTCGGGGTCCCTGAGGGCCTTAAACCCCCCATGCCAGGCCCCTTCCCCAGAAATTCTGATCCCATGGGGAGGGACTCGGGCTTCTACATTTTTTAAAAGTTACCCATTTATTTATTTATTTATTTTTTGGAGACGGAGTTTCGTTCTTGTTACCCAGGCTGGAGTGCAATGGTGCGATCTCGGCTCACCGCAACCTCCGCCTCCTGGGTTCAGGCAATTCTCCTGCCTCAGCCTCCTGAGTAGCTGGGATTACAGGCACGTGCCACCATGCCCAGCTAATGTTTTGTAGTTTTAGTAGAGACGCGGTTTCACCATGTTGACCAGGATGGTCTCGATCTCTTGACCTCGTGATCCACCCGCCTCGGCCTCCCAAAGTGCTGGGATTACAAGCGTGAGCCACCACGCCCGGCCTACCCATTTATTTTTTAACCTTTTATTATGAAAAACTTCAAGCATACAGAAAAAACATAGGGAATGATCTCATGAACACTTGTACATTCTATGCCTGATTTCAGCAGTGGCCCGAGTTTTGTCATATTTACTTCATCAAATATACTACAGCTGGAGTATTCTGACATCACAGCGTGCCTCTCTCCTGCCACAAAGTCCCCAGTAGGTCCTCACATAACCCAGTCCTACTGTCCACTAACAAATGAACAACTCCCCATGAGCATCTGCCTCCTGCCCGCCGTCTCCTTGCCCCAGCTGGCCCTCAATGTGTGTTGATGCTTTGTCAGAAGAGGATCCAGGCAAGAGGCATTGGGTCAGCAGGTCTCTTAAATCTCTTTCAACTGGAAAGAGTTTCCGCCAACCTCCCGACCCCCACCATGGTGATTTTCCCCCACCACATTGCCTTGCTGAATCCAAGGGTGGGTTTTCCCATAGGAGGGTAAGAACATGGCAGGGTCAGACAGCTCTCAGTAAGATAGGGAGGCTGAGGCCCAGAGAGGCAGGCACAGGCAGCCTGAGGCAGAACCAGGTCTCCTGTCCCCTCCGGGCCACTTCTCTGCATCTCTGCCCCACAGAGTCCTCTGGGGCCCTCCCTGTCCTCACCCTGCTGCTTCCAGGGGCCACAGGCCAGGCTGAGCCCACTCCCTGGCCAGCGGCGTCTCCTGCTTTCTCCAGAGCACTGAATAAATCCTTCCCAGACAGAAATCCGGATGGCTGCTCTCTTGTTCACCAGCAGCCACAGGGAACAGCAATAAACTTTATGAGCATCAGGTCCTTCAGGGAAGAAGCCTGCGCACTGGCTGGGGAGGCGAAGGGTGGGCGCGGGAGGGGGAGGGGTGCGCTGCACCTCGGGCTGCCTTTGCAGTGCGTTACCTCAATATTAGTCACTGCAACTCATCCAGGGCTGGGAGGCCCAGCTGGCAGACAAGAGGCTTCACCCACCCACCAGGGGTGCACAGCCTGCCGGGACGGACACATGGAGTGGGTATTGCTGGATACCCCGTCCTGCTCTGTCCAGATGGGCTCTCAAGTGCCCCAGCCCCTGCCTCAGCCCATTCCCACCTCCTCCCCCAAAGCCCCTGACCCTGATTAAGCATGGGGAGGGGAGGGGCAAGAGGAGATGTGATAGAACGTTGTAGGGAGAATCCAACCTCAATGATGGCTTCCGAGCTTTTCAAAAACACCTGCCTGATGGAGGCAGAACTTCAGCTGCCATCGGGGCTGTCTGAGACAGGTCTGGGCAAAGCCAGGCAAACCTAGGGCTGGTCCAAGAATGTGTCCCCCGGTCGCTGGGAGAGGAGGTGGGTGCTGGCTTGTTTTCAGTCAATCCTTCTCAGGCATTTCTGGCCTCAACATGTGTGCTGCTGCCCTCTGCTGGGGAAAGACCTTGCCTGCATTCTCCCTCAGCCTCACACGCGCAAACATGCACAAGCATTCACAAGCACCCGCACAAACACAAACACACATGCACGTAATATGCTCCTTCCCATTATTGTGTTTTGACCTTAAAGAGCTGTTCCTTCTTGCAACCATAACTGCCATGCTAATCGCTGGCAGCACCTCGTGTCTGTGGCTCACGGGCCTCTTGCACAAGACAGGTGGTGGCTGATCGTATTACTTTAAGGAAGGCGGCAGGTGTGGGGCAGGGCATTGGAGGCTGGGAAATCTGTAGGCAGGTCTGGGTGTTTAGCAATATCCAAGATCCTGGGTGCGGCGTCAAGAGGCAAAGTCCGGAGGAGAAAAGCACGGCTGGGAGGGGCTGTCGGAACAGTTACTAACCATCATGCCTGAGGAGCTCCGTGTCCAGGGGTCAGGATCGGCAAAAGGGAGAAGCCCTCGCAGCCTCTGCCTCCCCCAGGGCAGCCCTTCCAGTGGCACTCGGCTTCGTGAGTCATCTTTCCCCCGTGTTTCTCCCTCCTTGACATCGAGATCGGAACACTGTTGGTGCTGCTAAGCACATTTGTCAGTGGCTGAAGGGCTTCTAAACTAATAATCACTGTATTAAAATCGTATTTGGTCCTCAAGCTGCAGAAATGTTGGGGATTTTAAATGTTAAGAAAGGAGGAGAAGAAAACCCTCTCAAAGGATAAAAACAGCCACGAAGTAAGTTTCTATGACTGAGGAATATGAAGTATTGCTCTGTGATTCTAGAAATCAAGCCTTCCCCGGGAAATAGATGCTCTCCAAAGCCACATATTTCAGCCATGGCTGGGAAAGTGATGTGTGAAGTCCCCCAGTGCTAGGTATTGATCCCACTGAGCCAGGGAGCCACGCAGGTGAAGGGTGCGGCATCCTCCAGTTCTTGAGTCATTTTTAGAATGGATTTAAAAACTCCATTTTTCCCCCTGGAAATAAGCCTGTGCCTTCCAGCCTGGATGGCCTCAGATGATGCACAACCCCTCAGCCACGTGAGAAACTCCAAATTTCTCCTGCCCATTACAACCTAAGCGGTTTTAAATGGTTTTCGTGTCCTCTCATCTCTAATAGATTAAAAAATGCCCCCTTGGGCATCACAAAGACATTGAATGGTACTCGTACCAAACCTCTGGCTCTGAGAGGCCTGTGAAATGTACGTTAGAGCTTCAGAGGTGAGAGGGCAGGCTATAAACCATGCTGCTTTTGAATTGTGCTGCCTGCCACATTTTATATTACAGTTTTCTTTTGCTACGAGCTGTTTCTTAATTATCTTCTACCCAGAGAGCCGTCTCCCCAACACCTAAGATTTACTGGAAGGTGATCCCGAAGCCTTCAGCACCTTGGTGCTCTCAGGGGACCACCTCCCTGCGCTGAGCTGCGGCCCAGGCCAGCATCTCTTCTGGCTGGCCAGGCTGGGCTCCCTCTCCATCCCCCTCCACTGCCGGCTGCCTCTTTGGGCAGGCGCCCTGGTGCCGCAGCACGGGCACTGCCACCCCAGCACTCCCACTTCCTCCTTCCTCCTCCACACAAAACCCCTCTAGCCACCGCCTCCCGCCCTGTCCTTGCCCTTCCCTATTGCTCCCAGTACACATGCTCTCCGAAGCAGACCCTCTCCAAATCTCCCCAAGGCTGAGCCAACATCTCCCCTCCTCCTGGACCCCTTCCTGGATCCCTCAAACCACCCCCATCTCAGCCAGGAGCAATACCTCTCCTAACCTCTTCTCCAGGACCCATTTGTCAACATTGTGTTTTTCCTACCAGTCCCTATGCAATACTCATTATATTTTTAGGATCTGTTGATTGAGGAGATTGATGATGACAATAACGACTAGGAATTCAATAATGCCTTTAAATGAATTTGTATTTTAGTAATTACCAACACAATTTACATACATTTGAGAATGATCTCGCCTCTGGGGGATTACCTTCCTACTCGGCAGATTGTGGTGGTGTAGATTTGGGTAAGGTCTTGGCCAACCCCAGGTGGGAGCCCTCACCCAGGGCCCTAAGAATCCACGCTGCCGAGCGCTCTGTTACACCGCCCACGAGCGGCCTGCTTCCCCTGGGTGTGCGGCTCTTGCTGCCCAGCCAGGTGCAGCTTCTGAAAGGCTCCCTATCCTGACACAGGTTACTGAGGCATATGGCATAGAGGGCCCCAGACAACACCCTGGCCCCAAGAGCCTGACTTGGGTCTTGTTCCTGGGTCTCCGAGACTCCCAGGCCAGAGCAGCTCAGCTCGCCGTCCAAGGGGACTGCGCGTGGTCAGAATGGGCGTTGACTTTAGAATGGGCAGACTCGCCACGGCCAAGTCCCAGCACTGGTGCCTGCTAGCTCGGGACCCCAGGAGAACTCTTCTTTCTGACCCTCAGTGTCTCCATCTAAACTCTCTCATCTGGAGAAACAGAGGTGTGAATATAAATCC